AAATTTAAAATTAGGATTTGGGTATGACATAATTAAACTATTATCTTTATAAAATTTAAAAATCTTATTGAAAGAATTGTTTAAAATTATTTAAGTAAGGCAAAAACACTCTTTGACTATTAATTTTTAACAAATTGATAAGCATGTCATATATACACATTTAAACATGATAACACGATTAAACACGTTTATACATCTGAACACGATAACACGATTAAACATGTTTAGACGTTTAAACATGATAACATGATTAACACGATTAATTAAGCATATTTTAAACGTGTTACTCATGTTTGACGCGCTAAGATACGAAAATTTTCGTATCTTAAACGTGTCAGACATGATTAGACATGAAACATATTAAGGCTAACCCCAACTTGTTTAACCCTTATTTTCCCATGTCGCATTAACGTGTTGTGTCCAAAATTACCAGGTCTAATTACATGAAATGTAACAAATAAAATAACTCAAAAGCTAATTAGCTAAATTAGAGGATTTTGTATAATATATTCTTGTCAAAATCCATTTCATCCCAGCAATAATATTGATGTTGAATAATTTTTAATACATCTTCATTTTCATGTCAAATTTCTTTTTAATTTAAAACTTTATCTCTATCATGAAGGCGTTTAACTTTAAGAGTTTATATCCTAATGAAATACAAAGATAGAGAACAAGTTGCTTGCTACGTTTAAAAAATATTGTTATTGCATTCCATATTCAAAAAAAAATTGTTACAATTAAAAAAAATGGGTTGTTACACGTTTTAACTCCAAGAGTTTGTATTATAGTGAAATACAAAGGAGCAAGTTACACACCATGTTTAATAAATGTTGTTGTTACTAAACAACATTGCAAGCCTAAGTAAATGATTCACACTTCAGCAGAAGATATTACACACTAAAACTACAGTAAAAAATGTTACACGCCAAGATCAAAACTTTAACACTAAATGTTATACGCCAAAGCCAAAGCTTTAATACCAGATGTTATATGTCAATGCCCAAGCTTTAGTATCAAGTATTACACACCAAAGCTTCCTCATTCCTACTAATGTTATACGTCAAGACATGAATCACTTTGTTACATGCCAAGGCATGTTCTACCAAACTTGAATCACTAAAAATTTAACACTAATAAACCCAAGAACTTATTGTTACTCACCATGCCAATGTTTTTAGTCTCTAAATTGACGATGAGATAGTGAAAGATAGACAAAGAGAGGGCTATGTTAATATATACTAATTAACCCAAGAATATGTTGTTACATTCCAAGTCACACTCTTTGGTTTGTAGATCAACAATGATATGACAAGAAGATAAGAGATAAATAGAAAGAGATGGTGATGATTGTAAAATTAAAAAGAGCTAGATAGCGAGAGAGAAAAAGGGGAAGCACCGCAAAATAGGAAACATAGTAGAAAAAAATTAAAAGCATTTAATTTTGTTGAAATAGTTTTAAAGGTATTTTTATCATATTTTGGCTAAAATTAGGTAAAAAGAATTAACTTTATATTGCATGCTATTTATGAAATAGGCTTATGAGATGACCATTTCTCACAATTTTGTCATTAAATTATAATTGATAGAAAATTTAATTTGATAGTAATTAAAGATGATTTTAAAAGTAATCAAAATTAATCTAATTTATAACTCACTAAATCTCATAAATTTGTAATTAAAAAAAGCGGTAAAAGAAAAGATATAAAAAATAAAACAAAAAAAGAAATAAAATAATAAGCACATAAATAAATAACAAAGAGTATATTTGTTTTTTTATTTAAAGTTAACTTAATAATTAATACCTTGTTATGAAATATAACTTAAAAAATAAGTATAAGATAAATATAAGAGAAA